CTACAGGACATATAGGGTTACAGAACAGGAAATTAAATGACAACTGAAGAAGCAATCTGCCAAACCCAGAATATGGGAAATTCTGGAGAACTGACTTGGTTTCTTCACCAAATTAATAGAGGGGAGTGGAGATAGCTACAGGCTTGTGAGATCAAAACAAAACAAAAATCACCAAATGGTATGTGTAGCTTACTTGGATCCTGATTTGAGTAATTTAATCATAAAAGAGGTATTTCTGAAACTGGAGAAATTTGAACAGATATGAAAAAATTAATGACTTTATTAGGTGTGATAGTATCAGTGTTATATATGTATATATGAAACAGCTATCTTTTCGAAATACATACTGAAAGTACTGACATTTTAATGTATGAAATTATGTTAGAGATTCACTTTAATATATTACAGTAAAAGCAAAATAAAACCAAAAGGAATTTAAAAAGCTAGAGGGTACACGGGAAGATGAACAAAACTGGTAAAACGCTTAAAACAAGTGACACTCTCTGAGTACAGGGTCCTTAAACACTTCCCTCCAATTTTCTTGATGTTTTGAATTTTGTAGAAGGCCACTATCATCTCCTAAATTTACTCTGTATTTATCCTGTCCCTCAGTTTAGATTCTCCAACTCAATTAAACCATACTTAATACCATCCTCCAACCTGCCTTTTACCTATTATCTGACCAGTCAAGCATTCTTGATGGCACTATACCATCCTGCCTTTATACTGAGAACCAAAATTCTCCATGCTGGTCTATTTCATTGTCCGTCACCAGATTCTTCCTAATTTCTCTTTTCATGTTATTTCCTTATTCTTCAGCATGTCCCTGCTGCTAAATAAAAGGGCAATAATATGTTTATTCCAGTACTGGTTTTGTATTAAACAAAATCTTTCATTGAGTGCTCTATCTATACATTCTCTGCAATCCCCAAGCTTATTTCTAACAAATAGTTCTGAAATTCAACTTATCAAGTACATCAAACCAAGGCAGACATAGCTTAAGCAATCAAGAACTTCCTCTGAGGATGTGTGACTTTAAAATGCCAAAGAGAAGATGGAAAAGTTAAATAACCAACTAGACAAATCTTCCAGCTAGACAAATTAAGGATAAGGAAAATGACTCTACGGATAGCTATCTTGTAAAGGTCAGCCAAATCAATGCAAGATTAGAGTCAATAATTTGTTCTCTGTTAGTTCAGTTATACCTGTGCTTATTAGTTCTCTCTTTAGTTTCCTACATTTTCCTTTTGAAAAACTGTACCCTGCCTCACCCACAAATGAAAAAGAATTTTCACCTCAAATAAGGAAAGAAAAGTATGGTTTTAGGAACAGACTAGCTTCAGAGTTGAGGGAAAAGCCACAGAAGACCAGCAAAACTAGAAGCAAAATTAGAAATCTAGACAAAGATACAATATAAAATCCATCCTTTCCTTTAAAAAAAAAAAATGCTTAGGCATTTCCAACCTTTTAAAATATTTCCCTTGAAAGTATGACTGGCTTTGAATCACACTTAGCACAGAATCAAACACAAATGAGACATTTATTAAACACTAGGCTCTTGCAGTTAAGTACAGGCTACGCTACTGACAAAAAACATGAAGTTTAGATTTCTAAGGCCATTTAATGAACAATGGAATGAACACCTCATTGAGGGCTGGAATTTGGGTGTCAACTATTAACCAAAGGTGAGGACATAAACAAATTAGTGCTGTCAGATTATTTATACCTGAACACAGCGATCAGAAAACTAAAGATACCTGATTGTGTTCAACTCTTCTTTGCTTGAGTGTTACTGGAGTCTTTGCTCTGCCCTTTAGTGGTTCTCTCTTCTCAAGCTTGAGCTCTATTTTAGAGTCTGGAAATAACATCGGAGAAACATTACTCTCGGAACTACACAATAAACTACAATGTCATCCTCACTACTCCGGAACCTTCGTTTTAGACATTCTTATGTAAAACAAGTTTACCTACTGGTTATTACCTCAATAGACTACAATTGTTCAACTGTAATTTCTGTCTTTAAAAAGTTTACTTCCCCATTCATATTTTATTCATATTTGTTTATCTCCCCCACTCTTTACGATTTATTCTCCTCTCCTTTTTCTGGATCTAGTAGCCTAAAACATAAAGTGAATTCAAACTGCCCATGGAGGCTTTTCACTCAAAACAGCTTGGATGTGGGAAAAGGACATTAAAACACAGTTGTTACCATTCTTTTGTCCATACGGTGCATAACTACTATATGAATAAAGGTTAGCTATTAAAATTTGAAATATGGAAGAACAAAAGCTATAGGGAATTTTAAGGCTGAAAATACCTGCATGGTATCAAGCCTCTAATAATAATAAATAGATGTGGTGACATTAATACTTTAGGGCAGTTTAAAAGTCCTCCCTTCTGATTTGATGTGATTATAAAAAACCTGGGTACAACTGAGGTTAGAAGAATCCCACTTACATAAAATAAAACTCACAGGTCATTTCTCCTCCTTCTCTCCATAATAAAAAACATTTCTTTGAAGAGAAGCTAGTGCATATATATTAGTTAGCATATCACCACGATGCCAACAACTCAAATATATCTTTTATAGTCTTCAATGTTCCATTCACCTAGCCTTCGTTTTTTGTCACCATTTGAAGAGCTAGATTTTTTAAGTTTTATTTATTTAAATAATGTCTACACCCAACATGGGGCTTGAACTCATGACCCCAAGAGTCGCATGCTCTTCCAACTGAGCCAGCGAGGTGCCTCAGAAGAGCTAGACTTTTAAAGACTTGTAAAAATTTTAGTTAACTTCCACATTTTGTGGCCATTTATCAAAGTATAGCAAAATCAATGTCACTGTTACTACTAAAACTTCTATTACCAAAAATTTAAGTTAGATTATTTTCCTACCAGAAACAGAAATGGGAGTCAATTCTTAAACAAAAAGCTTAGTTTTGCATGAACCCAATGCACTGGTGCTAAAAAAAGTAGTCAGGATAGGTATGTTTTTGCTAATTATCTAGTCTGGTACTAGTCAGTCCACAGTCTACTTGCAAGTCTCCCCAAAAATAAACAGTGATTTTTACCATCTTAGCTCAAATAGTTCAATGTTTACTTAGGATTAAGGTACCAACACTACCCCCCAACCCCAAACTTCTATTAAATGGACTTATTAATATATTTATGTTTAGGATAATCCTTAGCATTATATACCTTACATTTTATTAACTCAGAATCTAAAAATTAGAAATCACAAAGTAACGAACCCAGTAGTAGTTGAGCAGAAATGGATAAAACAATGAAGGTATCTGGTCATAGAGTAATTCTTCTCACAAATTTAAATTCTAACAGCCAATAAAAACATAGTGTTTAACAGAAGAAAAACCACAAAACAATACTTAGAATATTTTCAACTATACCACTGGAATCTCAAGAGAGTTTCAATGAAGAAATGGAAAAGGGATGTTCATCCACAAATACCTAACTTGTTGCAACTCTGAGAATAAAACACACATACAACATGTTTCTGGAGACCACACAATACTGTTCAAATTACAACTTTATTGAATTTGCAGAAGCATTCTACAGTAATACATTTAAAAAAATCACATTGCACTTAGTAGGTACATGTATACATGTACATTCCAGAAGACAAATAACAAACAAAATTACTCCCAAGAAGCTGCAAAGATGGACACGTATAATAAGAATATAGTAATGGCTAGGAGTACCAAAGGGACTATACTTTGCTGATAGTTAATACTACTATTTTCAATAAGAATACAAAGAAATTTGATTATCAAATGCCTCTACAGTTAGACTCATCTTACAATCATAAAAATGAAAACAGAATATACTGCTTTATACAAACAAAGTATAATATGATTTCTTATAAAATTTTTTAAGAACTAGTAACAAATTTGCTTTCAAAATTTAGCTTAAGTCTAATCATCCATGAACCACAACATAACTTGAAAGTGTTATTTAAAAAAAAAAAGCGCCCCACTTTTCCAGTGTCTAGTTCATCTGACAAACTACAGTGATAGTGAGAATGTACTCTTTTAGAATTTTATTGTTTAGAGCAGTATTTTTAAAAAATGTTTAGTTTTGAAGGAGAGAGTAACAAAGCATGAATGGGGGAAGGGCAGAGAGAGGGAGACACAGAATCTGAGCGGCTCCCAGGCTCTGAGCTGTTAGCACAGACCTCGATACAGGGCTTGAACTCACAAACTGTGAAATCACGACCTGAGCCAAAGTTGGACACTTAACCAACTGAGCCACCCAGTCACCCTGTTTATAGCAGTATTTTGCAAAGCATGGTCCATGAACTGTTTACTACCAGTCCTTCATAGAAATGAGACACTTGCACTGGAATGTAAATTGGCACACTGTTTCATCAATAAAACTTTGCCACAAAAATAAACCCTGTCATTGATCTAAAAAGCGCCTCTAGATCCAAATTCTGGTGCATACTTATCTTGTCTGTAGATCAGTGACTGTCTGTAGATCAGTGACTGTCTGCAGACTGGCACTTTGAATTGCACTGATCTAGAATATTATGAAGGAATACAGAAGTAAAAAAAAACAAAAGTGAGAAATAAAAAAAAAAATGTGGACAAGTTCCAGAAAGTGAAAAGATATTTAGTAATATTTAAATCTGTGAAGACTCCACTTATATTCTATTTAGTGGAATTTCCTTAGTTTTGGAGAATTGTAAAATCTTAAGTAAAACAGGAGAGAGTGAACTATATGAGGCAAAGATTCTTTAAATTGTTTATATCAGGCTTTTTCTATCACAGCAACTTAAAAAATAAAAAAGGCAGTACTATGTAGGCAATTTTATACTGTAATTTGATAGGCAGAAGTTTGACTTTGAAAACAGCCCAATCTGGAGACTAAAAGGATCTTTAAAGAAAATCCTGGCAAAAAGCAATTAAAAGTACTTGAACTTCTTAGAAAAGCTGCTATGTTCCCCATATTAAAGATCAAATAAGGTGTCTTTATTCTTAACTTTATTAGTGTTTATTTCCACGCTTTTTAATTACTTTGTATACTTCTCCTCCAAATAATGTTCCACCTTTAAAAGGAGTAACAGCCAGCTTATTCTTAGAAGCTGGATTAATTTTACAGTCCTTCAGCCAGAGATATCGGCGACCTAAAGTGGCAGATCCCATGCTATGGGCAGCCATCTTTACTTCATCAAATGCAGCCTCACAAAGAAATGAGGCTGCATCATATGTTTTGCTCAGAATCCCAAGTGCCTGCTGCATATGACTAGGATCTGAACTAAGGATTTGTGCAGCCTGACTGATGTCTGCCTGCAGAGCCCGAACTACAAAGGCAGTATGGGTTGCAATCTGCAATGCTGATGCGGCAGCTTCATATGTTCTACAAAGTACTAAGTCCAACTGTTTATCACAAGACTCAGTAGAAGCTGCCTGAATACCTACGGGTGGAGCCGCTTCAGAAATAAGCCCCAGTATTTCATCATCTACTTTTGGAACTGATAATATCTGTGCTGCCTCTCTGGAGGAAATTGGATACTTGCATGCCAATGAAGGCAGTTGCCTGTCAATTTGCTGCCACTCCTCTTCAATTACTTTTAAAATAGATTCATGGAAGGGAAAAGATAGTTCTGGGGCATCTATTTTCTCATGTTGTGACTGCTTAGACATTTCTATGCCTAAAGTAGTGAGTGAGTGAGAGACAACAGTTTTGGCAAAAGAAGACATAACTTCAGATCCAGGTGTATTTTGAAATGCCACAAAGGAACCTGAATCCTTTTCGTCTACTGACTTTTCACTGAGTCTAGGGAATTTTCGTGGAGGAGACAGAGATTCGGTTTCTTGAAAATCAGATCGATCAATTCTCTTCCATCTGTTTTCTACATCCAGTGGGGGTGTAGAGTTTGAAGTCCCAGGCAAACTCCCTACCCCACCCTGGGCCAACAGAGAATTGACATAATCTCTGATTGCCTGAGCAAGTGGTGGAGAAATTACTTGTGAGCTCCCAGACTCTTCTAGTGCTTTCCTTTCACTGGAGAGAACTGACTGATCTGAAACATGGGACCTCTCAGTACACAATGGTTGAATTCCACTTTTCTCTCCACGGTAAATATTTTCTACTATATCTTTATAGCAAGTAGTGGTGGTTTCTTTAATCAGTGAAGGAGAAGCTGCAGCAGAGACCAACATGGCAGCGAGTTCATGCTGAAATGATGCCGAAGAACTTTTCTCTAAACATCTATCATGGCTAGACTTGGAGGAAGTAAACAAATTCCCTCCAGAGGCTAACTTCTGCAACTGTTCCCTGCCAGGCAAGGTTGTGGCAATAAGAGGTTCCCTAGGTGGGTCTCCCTTAGAAGTATGAACTTTCTTAGCTGCCTGTAGTTCAGTCCTGCCCAAAGGAGGACGGGTGGAGATTTCAGGAAAAGAAATACCCTGAAAAAATCCACCAGAGGGAGCAGTTGGAAGTTCAGAAAAAGGAACAAAATCCCTAGTGGACTTCACTTTCTTGTGTTCTTTCTTCTTTCCTGTAGAGGCAAAAGAGGCAGGAAGTTTAAGCATTACTTGTGTTTAAGCTGATTTTTTTGCCTCTTTGCTAACATAGTGCTGTTGAAGGAAAAAACTATATTTCATATTCTGAACAACCAATCTGACACTCTGTGCCCTGGCAGGCAATGCTTATGGAGATATAAGCAATTTGGGTCAAATTAAATAATCATGAAATTGACGAACAAGTCATATGAATTAAAACTTTATAAATATCAAGTTGTTCTTATTATAGAAAGGTCATTGTTTCATGTACTAGTTAAAAAAAATACTTACTATGGTCAAATTTTCTTAAAATAGTCTACTAATAACATGTCAAAATGTTTGCTTTTCATAGTTGCCCTGAGATCACATTATCTAGCAAAAACTATAAATTTAAATGCCTACCAATAGAAAACAGAGATTGTATTGTAAATACTACCACTATATATTAATTGCAAGAAATAAAATGGACATATAAGTAATAAATTAGTAAGATGAGATCTCAATAGTATAACAGAATGGAGAAAAGCAAGTAATAAGATTCAGCATTATATTTACATACATTTTTAAAAGTTCAAAATAATATCATGTTATTAGATACATATGAAAAAGTATTTAAAAATGGGTTGGAAAGATAAACACCAAATTAATGATAGCGGTTGCTTCTGTGTTGATAATACTTGGAAAGGGTAAGTGGGAAAACTTCACCGTTATTTTTAATACTTTATTCTTAGAAAAATGAAATAAGCAAAAAAATAATTTTATCTTCTTCATGGTTACTGTATCTTAGGAGTCTGAAAAAAATTACATATATTCGATTAATATTTAAAATTTTACCTTCTTCATTGTCACTGTATCTGTCCGAGTCATTACTTCCATTCTGTCTCATATTTTCTGCTGATGAAGAAATCGTTGGCAGAGGAGTTGACGATCTTGACTCTGTTCCCTGTTCCCTCAGTTTCAACAGTTTTTTCTCATATAGCTTTCTGGTTGTTCCTGTATGAAGGCAGAACTTGCTTTAATATCTGTATTTTCTTATTTAAGATCCTGCTTATCGTATTTACCAACATTAAAATGTTGCATTCATGCTTAACTTTTTTTTTTTTTTTAACGTTTATTCACTTTTGAGAGACAAAGATAGAGTGAGTGGGGGAGGGGTAGAGAGGGAGGGAGACACAAAATCCAAAGCAGGCTTCAGGCTCTGAGCTACCAGCAGAGCCTGACATGGGGCTCAAACCCAGGGACCGTGAAATCACGACCCAAGCTGAAGTTGGACGCTCAACCGACTGAGCCACCCAGGTGCCCCAACACTTTACTTTTCTAAACTTAAGTGATTAAAAATACCATATAAAGGATTCTTTTCTAAAATAGGTGTTTTGCCGAGATTTTAATACATACATGATTATGTTTTAGTAGCATGGAATACACAGATTGATATAAATCTTTTTTTTTTT